GAGAAGGGCCGATTCCAGACCTTGGGGGACCTGCGGAAGCAGTGGACCGAGTCTGGAGTAGAAACATCCAGAGCCACCGTGCACAGGCGTGTGCAGGAAATTGGCTACAGGTGACACATTCCCCAGGTCAAGCCACTTTTGAACCAGAAACAGCGGCAGAAGCACCTGACCTGGGCTACAGAGAAGCAGCACTGGACTGTTGCTCAGTGGTCCAAAGTACTTTTTTCAGATGAAAGCAAATTTTGCATGTCATTCGGAAATCAAGGTGCCAGAGTCTGGAGGAAGACTGGGGAGAAGGAAATGCCAAAATGCCAGAAGTCCAGTGTGAAGCACCCACAGTCAGTGATGGTCTGGGGTGCCATGTTGGCACAACAATTTTCCACAGGATCAATACAGTTCTTATCTTAATGGAGAAGTCTATGTTAAAGGAAACACTAGCTACTATTAGCTTTTAATTAGTCAGAAGCTAAAAGCTAGCTAGCAAAAAAGCAGCAAAAGGGTAGCTAAAAGCAGCTAAGCTTGACACTAATTCCTGTTAATTTACTGTAACATTGAGTTTGGTAAATGTTCAATTTCCATTTCCCAGTTAGCAGAAACAGCATCTCACAGCTCAGTATTTTTGCCCTGAATAGCCTTGTAAAAGAGATTAATCATCTCAATGAATTTCTTCCTGTAAAATGAAGTTTTAAAAAAAAAAAAATTGTACCAACAGCCTGCTCCAACCTGTCCAGTCCATATTCCTTTTATTAGAATTCAGAAAACTGGCAATCTTAGACAAGTACAGTAGAAGGGGTCATAGTGTCACTGACGATGAAAAAAAAAAAAAGGAGGTGGTGGTTCATGAACTAAAGCCTCTTTAATAAATTTCCACACCACATTTTCATGGTTAAAGTGACTTTTGAGATGGTTTGTAACCAGTGTAATGAAAAAAAAATAAAATAAAAATCAAGACTCGTGTCTGATAGAAAAATAATTTGTTACCATTCCTTTCAGCTAAAGCCAAACTATACCAGCTGTCTCAGTTTTTCCAGAGCGTTATACTGGGCAGTGCAGCTTACAGGATTACAAGTGAACCATCAGTCTTTCATAATAAGAGGAGCCTTGACTTGATCTGCAACCTCAGCCCCCATGAGTTCCTCTACAATCGTCAGGGCGAACTCAAAGCTGGTTCCTGGCCCACGGCTGGTGATGTAATGGCCATCCTTCTGCACTCGGGCCTCTGAATATTTATAGTGGTCTAAAAAAAGACAGAGCAAAAGAAACTACAGGCGTCAGAGTACTTGAAGCACGTGCAGTATGAACACAAACTGGGATCATCTGAACAGACTTGATTCTAGTATGTTCTGTCAAATTCCTGCTTTACCTCCAAATGCTGTGCTATCCAGCTACACTGGAATGATTCTCCACAGGCAAACTAAATGCTTGAACAGCACCATCTGCTGCGTGTCACAAGTAGTTACAATTCTTAATGCTGTACTACTCAAGCAGATTTAAAACCATTGATGGTACAAAAATATATATATATTTTTTTACCGTCAACCATCATCTTCTCCTTCATGGCAGGATGTGTAGTGACTATGCTGCCATAGCCTATTCCATGTGCCAAAAGAGCAGTGGGACCTGAGAAAGGGCAAAAATGTTTAAGGTTTTAATTTCTCTCTTTTATTTTAGCTGTTATATTAAGTAAGACAAACTTATTTTGCTTGCGCAATTTCTAGTTTTCATACTTATGTTGTTGTCAACAAAAAAGAAAATATTAGAATGCCCCACCTTAAAGTTCAGCACAAAGAAACCTTAAAACTGTACAATTCCATCAAATGCAGTAGATTTGCATTATGGATTTGCGTTAATAATAACCGAGTGGCACATGTACAAAATATCTAATAATACTTGTGTCCTAAAAGGTGTCCTCAACCTTACGGTCGTTTCCAAGAATACACTTGCACAGTATACAATTTCAGTCTCTCTCCAAAGTGTGTGCAGCACTTTGAAAAGGGAGGAGAGAAAAAAGAGAGAGAGAGAGGCTGAGGACACAGACTGCCACTGCATTAACTTTGATAATGTCCTAGCACTGCTGTGAGTGCATCCAAAAACTGCTAATATACAGAGAGGTATTGATCACGCTCGTTTGGCTGCATTCCTGTGCAGTTTCAAGAATGCACTATTCCCTGGCAGGACAACAGACTGCTGGTTAAAACCAAGCTACTCCAAGTCCGCACCCATTGGAGATCAGCCTGGGAGATAAAACGGTCCAACAGTGAGGAATATGATTTTATTATCGAGCAATAAGAATATGTATAAAGAGAATTATGTTCTTTCCAATCACGATTTTAGTTTATAACAACTTTAATGTTATGACAGAATAATAGGTTTTGTAAATGCCTCCCTTGCTGATTCCATTAAAGAGTATATTCCTGTGAGAATTTCAGTCATTTCTAGGACACATTTCAACCTAATTTGCTGTATTGGCCTCATGTCCCAATTCAAAATGTCTTTTCTTTGTCCTTTCTCTACGTAAGAAAAAAGCTGTCAAATGAATTGGGTGTGCTTTAAAAGAACAATCAAATTCACATTTCACTTAAAATTACATTGGAGTATTACAAATAAACTTCACAAGTGTGTCATTTGGGCACAATGCATATTTACCAAAATGAGGCAAAGGTGTGTGCTAAACACATTTCAGAAGACATCTAGACCCTAAAATATTCATGAAGTCCTTAAATCCACTGCCATGCACTTTAACTCCAGGGCTGATTTGTCAGTATATTTTAGGTAATCTATATAGTCATCGATATGTTTATTTTATACTTATAGTTGAATTGATTTTATTGATTGTATTGATTGCATTTCTTAATTTTTCTATAACAGGTCTCTCTTGCAAATGAGACAATAGTGTTTCAGTGGGACTAAGCTGTAATAAATAAAGGAAATTAAATGAAAGGACAGCCAGGAGACCAAAACGGTCAATTAAAAAAAAATTATAAGGGTTGTGGCCTTATGATGGACTTGTGAGCCGACCAGGGAGTGACTGATGGATATGGGCACCAGTGACCCCTGTGACCCGGAAAGGAAGAAGCAGGTAAAGATTAAATGGATGGATTATAAAAGGTTATAAGACAAATAATTATTTCTGACAACATATCTGTTAGAAAACTTCAATTTAAAAAGGTAGATTACAAAGAATATGTGCTATTCAAGTCAAGTCAGATTTATTTATATAGCACATTTAACACAGAAGCTGTTCCCAAAGTGCTTAAAAACAGAGACTGGAGTGGCCTGTCAAATGTTGATGGGTCCTAATCTCCTCTGAGCTTCAGCTTGGTTTTTGGTATAACCAAAAGCAGCTGGTCCGATGATCTCAAATCCCGAGAAGGAGCATAAAGATGAAGAAGGTCGGAGGTGTGAGGGTGCATTATATTAATGCACTTAAATGTCAGCAGGAGAACTTTAAAATTCTATTCTGACAGCACAGGGAGCCAGTGAAGGGAGGACAGAACAGGTGAAATGTGCTCAAACCTACAAGTTCCTGTTAGTAGACGGGCTGCAGCATTCTGGACGAGCTGGAGACGTGAAAGGGAATCTTGACTGATCCCAACATAAAGCGAGTTAGAGTAGTTCAGCAGTTATAACGAATGCATGGACTAATTCTTCAAGATCGGAATTGTATTTACCGGTACCATTGGGTTGTTGTCGTTTTTTTTCCCCTAATTTCTAATTTTCTATTTTTTTTCCTAATATTTTTATTTACTAATCATATTTTCTGTTGTAATTACAAAGGTCAGTAGAAGGGGTCTCATATTTTATTTTATTTTTTTTACACAAACCTCAACCACTTGTTTTGCACTGCAGCCTTTGCTCATTCCAGCTCATTTTTCCAGAAAGGGTCACAAACATTGAAACAAATCAGTTTCTCTTACACATTTAAATTCTACTGGTGATTCAGCAGTTTTAGTGCTTAAGAAAATAAGCTGTTAGGACTAGTTTTACAGACCTGTTAAGGACTAACAGCAACAACCATCAAATGTAATCGTCAACAGTAAATAGCCCTCACTTGTTCATGAAATAGCATTTTTTTTAGCCTAAATACATTCAAAGCTCTAAAAAAATTAAAAAAAATTAAAAAAAAGTTTTACATAATGAAGTTGTAATTCCTAAATCGTTCTTCCACCTTGTACAAACCGGATTCCAAAAAGGTTGAGACACTAAACAAACTGTGAATAAAAACTGAATGCAATGATGTGGAGATGGCAAATGTCAATATTTTATTCATAATATAACATAGATGACAGATCAAAAGTTTAATCTGAGTAAATGTAACATTTTAAAGGAAAAATATGTTGATATAAAAAATGTTTTATAAGGTGTGAAGTTGCCTTTATGCCTATTCAAACATATATATATTGTGTGTGTTACTTATTCAGAATTAAATGTCTAAAATTGCCATAAAAGCAAGGGTGGAATGATATAGAAATTATTATTTTAATGCTTTTATGTCAATCTAGACCTATATTACACTTATTTAAACACACTTATACAACGTGTTATTCACATATTAGGGATTGTATTTTGTATTATGTTTTATGAGGTGTTGGGTCGCCTTTATGCCTGTTCAAACATATACTTTGTGTGTGTGTGTGTTGCTTATAATATTTAGACACTCTTTGATGGTTTGCAGAGGGATGGAGGAGTGCGTATTTCCTCTTTAGGAAGTTTAAGGAGTATTGCTAACTTCAAGGTCTTGGCCCGCCTTGAGGTCACCGTGCTCCTTATTTGTAATAAATCACCAGCTCCTCATCCGTTGTTCTGGTAACCATCAAACTTGTTTTGAATGCTCTCACGCGATCCGGTCAGGGAAGAAAAGTATAAAGGAAGTGTGACAGGCAACTTAATCTTTGGAAGTCCGGTGTGGATCAGCACGCGCTGATGCCATGCACCAATTTTGATGTGATTCTTCTTTACCTGGGTCGAAAACGGCTTCCCGGCCAGTGTCACGGTGAGAAGTTATTTCATATCAATCTGTGTGTTAAGAGTGTACATGTTTTTTGCTTGGCTGTTTTCTGTGGCAGGATAATAAAGGACACTTATTACTCCTAGCAGTGACAGCTTCTGTCTTTCATTTTTTTCCTTCTTGTCTGATTTATCTGTGCAAACCGTTCAACGAGCCCTTTTGATAAAGAATTTCATAATACATATGTTGATTCAAAATTTCAGTGTCAACAAATCCCAAAAAGTTGGGACAAGTAGCAATAAGTGGCTGGAAAAAGGAAATTGAGCATAAAACGAACAGCTGAAAGACCAATTAACACTAATTAGGTCAATTGACAACATGATTGGGTATAAAAAGAGCTTCTCAGAGTGTCAGTGTCTCTCAGAAGCCAAGATGGTAAGAGGATCACCAATTCCACCGTTGTTGCGCAGAAAGATAGTGCAGCAATACCAGAATGGTGTTACCCAGCGTAAAATAGCAAAGACTTTTAAGTTATCATCATCAACCGTGCATAACATCATCAAAAGATTCAGAGAATCTGGAACAATCGCTGTGCGTAAGGGTCAAGGCCGTAAAACTCTACTGGATGCTCCTGATCTCCGGGCCCTTAAACGTGACTGCACCTCAAACAGGAATGCCACTGTCAAGGAAATAACAGAATGGGCTCAGGAATACTTCCAGAAACCATTGTCAGTGAACACAATCCACTGTGCCATCTGCCGTTGCCAGCTGAAACTCTACAGTGCAAAGAGGAAGCCATTTCTAAGCAAGCTCCACAAGCTCAGACGTTTGCACTGGGCCAGGGGTCGTTTAAAATGGAGTGTGGCAAAATGGAAGACTGTTCTGTGGTCAGATGAGTCACGATTTGAAGTTCTTTATGGAACACTGGGACGCCATGTCATCCGGACCAGAGAGGACAAGGATAGCCCAAGTTGTTATCAACGCTCCGTTCAGAAGCCTGCATCACTGATGGTATGGGTTTGCATGAGCGCTTGTGGCATGGGCAGCTTGCATGTCTGGAAAGGCACCATTAATGCAGAGAACTATGTTCAGGTTCTAGAACAACATATGCTCCCATCTAGACGTCATCTCTTTCAGGGAAAACCCTGCATTTTTCAACACGATGATGCCAGACCACATTCTGCAGCAATCACAACATCATGGCTACGTAGGAGAAGGATCCGGGTACTGAAATGGCCAGCCTGCAGTCCAGATCTTTCACCTATAGAGAACATTTGGCGCATCATAAAGAGGAAGGTGCGACAAAGAAGGTCCAAGATGATTGAACAGTTAGAGGCCTGTATTAGACATGAATGGGACAGCATTCCCATTTCTAAACTTGAGAAACTGGTCTCCTCTGTCCCCAGACGTCTGTTGAGTGTTGTAAGAAGAAGGGGGGATGTCACACAGTGGTAAAAATGGACTTGTCCCAACTTTTTGGGATTTGTTGACACCATGAAATTTGGAAACAACACATTTTTCCATTAAAATGATACATTCTCTAAGTTTAAACTTTTGATCTGTGATTTGAGTTCTATTCTGAATATAATATTAGATGTTGGCACCTCCACATCATTGCATTCAGTTTATATTCAAAATTTGTTTAATGTCCCAACTTTTTTGGAATCCGGTTTGTACATGATACCCTCAAATAATATTTGAATATGCAGTCTAAGCCCTGAGTCACTTTCCTGTAATGTGCATGTGATTTGGTAAACCCTTTCCATGCCATGTGTGAAATTCCATAAAGAAATAAAACATGGTTGTCAAGTTTGAGGTTGCATCATATTTAAACCCGATACAGACAAATCTATTAGAGGATGTATAACAAGGATGGTTGTGTATAATTATGGATACTTTGTTTTCACAAGCTGTACCTGCACAGATGGCTGCAATCAGGCCTTTTCTGCCATCTTGATCCTTCAGCACCTCCTTCACGGCAGGAGACTGTAAGAGAGTGAAAAACAGATGCACAAAGACTCAGGTGGAGGCCACACGATACACTGTGTATACACTGACTGTATTAGACCAACACATGGTAGTGTTTTAAACGCATTGTGCACAGACGTTGGTTACGTACTGTAACCCCAGATTCTATGAGTATAGGCTTCGCCCTTTAAGGCTGTCGCTGATGGGTTTATCCCGTTATGCGCAGCATAAGCACTGAAAAAAATTTAGTCCACGCCCACCTGCTGTGTGGGCCCCACCCGGTCCGTATAAATTACGTTAAGAGCGGGAAATCGGCTCCCAAAATAGCTTTTTCTTCAGCCATTTAGGAGCCAGTGAGGCCCAACGCTTAGAGGGCTACGCCTATACTCATAGAATCTGGGGTACAGTACGTAACCAACGTTCTATGTCGTATAGGCTTCGCCCTTTAAGGCTGTCGCTGATGGGTTAAGGGCGAAGCAGATGTGGTCCTCGCCTCACTGGGTCCATTCGAACACAGTATGAAGCGGAAGCTTGCCCAAAAAACGTCTTGTCACTCAGCTCCCCATGTGCATAACTACGCGTTGCGTAATTATGTGCCATGCAGAGACGCATGTTGTGTAACTATGCGTTCTGACAAAAACATGAACGCCCCGGAAATTTTCAACGGGAAGAGGATGTTGAAAAGAAGGGGGGGGGGGGGCATGAACCAACTAGTTCATGGCTGAACAGTATAAACAGATCAATAACAATGAACTGATTATTGATCAAATGAACTGATTGGTAACAATAGTCATAAACTGATTAGTGACAATAGAACCAAAATCACAGACACAACTTGTGACTGATAACAACATCTCACACTGCAATGCATGCAGACAGATGTGAGCTTAAACAGAGTTCCATGAAAAACAACAATATTCATTCTGTTAGAGCACTAAGGACAGAATGTGTCATGGAACGAGCCGTCACATCACATAAATAAAGCGAATAAATGAGCAGGGTGTTGACCACGCAGCCGCAGTGCAAATGTCCTGCATTGACATACCATTATGCAGAGCAGTCGAAGATGCGATACCCCTGGTCGAGTGTGCTTTGAGGTTGACAGGAGGCTCTAAATCTGATGCTTGTAGGCTTCAGAAATGGCCTCACACAGCCAGTGTGACAAGCGCTGGGTGGATAACGGGCGACCTGCAGATGCATCTCTATAATGCACAAACAGGTGTTGCGTTTGACGCATTACAGCTGTGCGCGCTATGTAACACGTTAACGCCCGCACCGGACAGAGAAGATGAAAAAATGCTTCTTCTTCTGATCTGTGGGAGGAAGGGAAAAAAACCCTCCGACGATATCACTCTTGATTTAAAAGAGCTCGTGATGTTTTTAGGCATAAAAGCTGGGTTTGGTCTTAAATCAGCTGAACTACCGTCAGCCTGAATTCTGAGACATGACGGAGCGACAGAGAGGGCAGAAAAATCACTTACCCTCTTAGCGGATGTTAATAATAATAATAGTAAACTTTATTTCTATAGCACCTTCCAACAACGCCTTGCATTGACCAAGGTGCTTCACAAGACAAAACAAGATTAAAAACAGGACACAATACATCAGTGCAAATTAAAAATACAGCGAGAATAAAAGAAGGTAAAAGAGATAAAATAAAAAAATAAATAGTAAATACTAAACTACAGAAGTTAAACATTAAAAGCCCTTTTAAATAAGTATGTTTTCAGTTTGGCTTTGAACAGAACCAGATCAGAGATGGCACGCAGCTCATAGGGAAGAGTATTCCAGGCTGTTGGGCCTGCAACAGAAAAGGACCGGTCCCCCCATTGTTTGCACCTTGAGCGTGGCACCTCCAGCAGATTTTGACCAGCAGACCGTAAAGCTCTGCTGGGCTGGTGGACTTTCAAAAGTTCTGAAATATAAGGTGGTGCAAGGCCATTCAAAGCTTTAAAAACAAACAGTAGCAGCTTGAACTGTATCCTAAACTGAACCGGGAGCCAGTGTAAAGAAGAAAAGACAGGAGTGATATGTTCATATTTACGTGTGTTAGTCAACAAGCGAGCAGCAGAGTTTTGTACAAGCTGTAAACGGGAGATAGAAGATTGATTAATACCCACATATAAGGCGTTACAGTAATCAAGCCTAGAGCTCACAAAGGCATGGATGGCCTTCTCCAGATCACTACGGCTAAGGAGTGATTTTACTTTGGAAAGCAGACGGAGCTGAAAGAAGCTGGTTTTCACAACAGAACTGATCTGTTTATCTAGCTTTAAGTTACAGTCAAGGTCCACTCCTAGATTTTTTACCACCTGGTTGGCGTGGGGGAGCGGAAAACCTAGACTGGGAGAGATGTTGCATGAATTACTGGAAGCACCAAATAAAATCCATTCAGTTTTATCGTTATTGAGGTGGAGAAAATTCTGAGACAGCCAGTGCTTAATGTCATTTAAGCAGCTGGCATTAGAGTTGAAACCGAGTGAGGAACTGGGAGTGACCGGCAGATAGATTCGTAGATCATCTGCATACAGACGAAAAGACAGATTATGGCGTGCAATGATGGGTCCTAATGGTAGCATGTAAAGTGAGAAGAGAACAGGCCCCAGAATGGATCCCTGCGGTACACCAGAGGTCAAAGAGACTGAAGAAGAGGACAGATCACCAATCATAACAGAGAAAGTTCTGTCTGTTAAATAGGACTTAAACCACTCAAGCACAACACCCTGAAGGCCAACCTGCTGAGCCAAACGAGTGATTAGGACCTGATGGTCTACAGTATCAAAAGCTGCTGAGAGGTCCAACATCACCAGCAGAACAGGTTTTTTGGCATCAAGGGACAAAAGAATATCATTCTGTACTTTGAGTAGTGCAGATTCAGTGCTATGACGGTGTCTGAAGCCAGATTGAAATTTTTCAAACAAGTTGTTGTGTTCTAAAAAAGATTGCAACTGAATGAAAACAACCTTTTCCAGAACTTTGGATAAAAATGACAAGTGTGAAATTGGCCTGAAATTAGAAAAAGCTGTAGGATCTAAACCCGGTTTTTTAAGAAGAGGCCTGACCACAGCATGTTTGAAAACAGACGGGACATAACCTGAACTTAGACAGCTATTAATAAATGTCAGAAGACAAGGACCAATAACATCCAAGGACTGCTTGAACATCTTAGAGGGGATGATGTCCAGGGTACAGTTTGTAGGTTTCATCTGCTGAACCACCTTAACGAGGTGAGGTAGTGAGACCAGGTCGAATTGATCAAACACAGCAGAGGTTATTGAGGGAGCACATAACTGAACAGCATTATATGTACTGACAATGTTCTGCTTGATAGAGTCTATTTTGTTCACAAAGTAATCAAGAAAACCATCACAGAGGACTGTGTAGCAGTTTTCAGAACATTGATGGAGGGATTAATGACAGACTGAATGGTATTAAATAAAACCCTTGGCCGGTTACAACTGGTAGAAATTAAATTAGAATGATATTGTGATTTGGCCTGCTGAACAGCTTTTTGATATTCATGAAGACAGTCTCTCAGTATGTCCTGGGACACATGAAGCCTGTCTTTCTTCCATCTGCGTTCTGCTTTCCTGCAACGTTGTCTAAAAGTCCGAGTGGTACCATTAAGCCAGGGATCTGGTTTGATTTTTGTAGAAGTCTGTCTTAAAGGAGCGATGGAGTCCAAGATCTTTGTAGAAGTGTATTGAAAGGAGGTGATAAATTCTTCTGGATGTAGAGATGCATTCAGACTTTCAGCGGAGTATAAGTCAGTGCTGCTAAATGCAGCAGCAAACTGACCTGGAGTGGAGGGAGTGATGAAGCGGCAGCGACGTGCTGGAAGCATAGTTTTTACTGGGGGAGGAGTGGAAAATTCAAATATAATAGGAAAGTGGTCTGAAATACAAGTGTCCAAAATTTCTATAACAGATACACGAGGGCCGTGAGAGATGATTAAGTCCAAAGTGTGACCATGACTGTGTGTGGACCCTGACACAGATTGTGACAGGTTAAAAGAATCCAGAAGGCTTTGAAAGTCAGCAGAAAGTTGGTTACAGGGACAGCAAACATGAATGTTAAAATCACCACATAAAAGCAAACTGTCAAATTTTGGCAACAGTTCAGCTAACAGTTCTGAGAATTCATTAATGAAATCCTTATTATATTTTGGTGGGCGATATAAAACACCACACAGCAGGGGATGTTCAGATTCCATCACAAACAGCTGAAGCTCAAAGCTGCTGTAGTTTTTAGGAGGCAGTGGGCGGCAGGTGAGTTTATCACTGAACACAGCAGCGAGACCGCCCCCACGGCCAGACACACGGGGTGCACTCAGGTAGGAGTAGCCAGGTGGGAGGAGCTCAGAAAATGTTAAATGTTATGTTAAAGCCAGCAGCAGGGCTGTTTTAGGAGACAAGAATTTAAGTGAAAACTGATCCAGAGGCTCAAATGGTGCTTTGATCAGGGCTCGCAGGACCAGCGTTAAATCCCACTGTGGAGCAAGTGGGCGTGAAGCAGGCCTGCGTCTCTGTACGCCTTTTAGAAACCACTTCATCAGCGGGTAATTAAAAGCTGTTCTGTCTCCGAACCCTTTGTGGCAGGAAGAGATGGCTGCAGCGTACGTTTTAATCGTGCTGAAAGCCAACTTCCTATCCATCAGCTGTTGTAGAAAAGACAACACGCCGCCTAATGGGCATGAGGTGGCCTCTACACCTTTCTCTGTACACCAGCGCTGAAAAGCCATCCACTTTGATGTGTACAGAGCTGTGGTAGATGCAGCACGTGAATCCTGGATTGTGCGCACTACCTCCTGTGGGAGACCCATCCTCTCTAAGCGGGACCGCTCAACGGCCAGACCCACAGGTGCTGGCCTATTTCTGGGTAACTCCTGATCGCTCCTCCTGCTTGAAGGAGAGCGTCCTCCCTCCACAGCAGTTTCCACGGGCGACCCGACAACAGACGTTGCAGGACTGGGAACCATGGTGCGTTCACGCGTTCGGGAGCCACCAGGAGAGCTGTCAATCCCTCCTCCTGAACTCGGTTCAGGAACCGTAAAATCAGAGGAGGTGGGGGAAACGCGTACAGAAGCGTTTTGGGCCATGGGCTGTGAACAAATGCATCCACCCCCAGCGGTGGATCGTCTCGCGGGCTCAGGGAAAACCATAGTTGACACTGAGCGTTCTCTCGTGTCGCAAACAGGTCCACAGCTGCTTTGCCAAACTTCTGCCACGTCTGAACCATCAGGTCTGGATGGAAGGTCCAGTCCGCGTGACGTGGACCGCCCCTGGACATCACATCTGCCCCTCTGTTCAGAACACCGGGTATGTAAACTGCTCTGATGGAGAGCAGGTTTTGGTGAGCCCAACACAGTAGCTTTCGCGCAATGTGTAACATCTGGGCTGAACGCACACCCCCCTGACGGTTTATGTACCCAGCAGTCACCATGTTGTCTGTGTGAATCAACACATGTCGATTCTGTAGCACGGGAGCAAAGTGTTGAATCACATTCAGCACTGTGCGACACTCCAAAACAATTATGTGGGCTGATGTGTGGTGGGGCCACAGCGCACCTACTGCTTGAGATAGGCATGTCCCCCCACAGCCTGACAGCGACGCGTCCGTGAAGACTGACACGTGTGACGTGGGTCTGCTGACGGGAACTCCCTCTGACAGAACCAGGGTGTTTCCCCAGTGTCGGAAGTCTGCTCTCACCGAGGGAGGGACAGTGATCATCCGTCTCTTTTGTTTTACTAGATCCACACGCAGACGCGCAAACCACTTGTGGAGGCGTCTCATGTGTAACAAACCCAGCGGAACCACTGTGTGAGCTGATGACATCATTCCCAACAGCTTCATGACGGAGACAACTGTTACCACTCTGCCAGGTCTTACATGGCGGAGTTGACTTTTAAAAGTGTCGAATCTCATTTGTGATAAACGAGCCTTCATGGTGGTTGAATTTAATTCCACTCCCAGATAAACAATTGTCTGGGCCGGGAAAATCGAGCTTTTCTTCCAATTTATGGCGAAGCCCAGATTTAACAGGTGTGATGTCAACACCTGAGCCTGCATCAACGCCTCCTGTCTGGAGTGTGACAGGAGCAGCAGATCATCCAGGTAAAACAAAACTCTCATCCCTGCTCTGTGTAACAGATGCAGGGCTGTCTCCACACACTGAGAACGTACGATGACCGGCAGCCGTTGTACTGATACTTCATCCCCTGAAAGGAGAAAAACGCAGGAATTTTCTGTGTTTTGGGATGATCGGTATGCGTTTCTCTGGATGTTGTACAACAGCTGTCTGGTTGTCAACATGTGAAAAACGGTATGTCCATGATCACCTTGTTGAAAAAACTGACAGATCCAAGATCGATCTCATCCCTCCAGTCCATTGGGAACCAGGAAGTAACGTGAGTAAAACCCTGTGTTTTCTCTCTGTTGGGGAACTCTGGAGATTACTTTTATCAGAAACACTTGGACTTCTGCATTTAGGGATGAGATTTAGTCTGATGAGGACAGGACCGTTTCTATAACTCCTCCGAACGGCGGGGGTCGGGTTGCAAATTGTAACTTGTAACCATTTGCATAACACCCTGTCCATCCATCTGAACGGCGAGCATGTTTTAGCCACTCTACGTAACGTTCGTGGAGTGAACGTGCGTTTAAGTGATGCGTCACGTTTTGTACGGCTGTCAGCAGTCCGCCCCTCAACCGCCGTCATGCGTCGCGGGAATGTTTTCTGCGTGACCCAAGGCGAGGCTTCCTCGAAAAAAAAAAAAAAGCTCTGAACGCGCCCGTGCACTGCGTTCGGACCGCGGACCAACCTTCATGTACAGGTGGGCCGGTGTGCTGAGGCGAAGCGTGTGACAGCTGATGACGCCATGGGGCTGCGCGTTTGACGCCGCTGTGCGAACGTCGAGAGGCGGAGGGCGTGACTTCATCTACGCCGTGCTGTTGTAGTGAAGGCTGCAAGCCCCGCGGGAGCACACGTTTTCTCTGGAGGGACGCGCGTCGCTCTCGCTGGAGGGGCGCGCACCGCTCTCACTGGAGGGAGGCGGGACTCGTCACCGGGTTCGTTCAGCTGCCTCACGCTTATGCTGCCGTGAGCTGCCGAACGCTGAGACGCGGAGGGTGACGGCTGCCCGCGTTTGATTCGGTGAGGCGAGTGTCGCTCTTGTGAGAGCGAGGACCTCCACGTGACCCAGCCTGCGGTCCACATTTATACCGATGTGAGCCGGTGAGCACCGGGCAACTGTGTGTGTGCGCCAACATCAATGCAGCGCCGTTGGATGGAGGCTGTTTCATCCCACGAGTGCGAGTTTGACACTGCTTGGGTGAGGATCGTGCCGCTCGGGATGATAACGAGTTATTTTCGCTTACCATTGTGTCGTGTGATCGACTCGTCATGTCTTGGAGCGACGGTGAGTTTAAAAAACCTTTATTTAAGGACACCGGCTCGTTATGTGTGGAGGATGTGTGCGCAGCCGCTGTGAGTTCATTCGAGCTTACAGACTGGCTAAAAAACAGACACTTTGATCATTGAATGATGATTTATTTCAACTTTCGTGTCACTTTTACACACACCCTCCGGAGACCGTCATTTTTAAAACTTCTCCCTCTTGAGCTCTGCGATTTGTTTGCCCAGAGCGCTGTCTTGCAGGCGAACTCTGGGGAAACGCTGAACTGCAGGTTGCCGGAATGAAGAGGGCTGGATTCTGACGGGCGGGGCTGGAGGTGGAACTGAGCGAGAGCCGCGGCCGTGGAAACGTCGATGCTTGCTCGCGACGGTCCCTCCAGCGGGCCGGGGGGCGGGATGAACCGCGCGGCTTGATGAGGTGGCGCACAGCCTCTGGCACCTCCTCCGACTGCTTCAATTCGCCAGCATGGTTTTGAAGCTGCTCTCGAACAGCGCGTCCGCCATGATGGGCCCTCCATCAGGTCTTTGTGCAGTTTCTCCGGCAGAGAGGGAGAGTAACGAAACAAGGTGGGTCGTTGGATCATCGTCATCCACGCTGCAATCCTCGACAGGAAACCGTATAAGAGGCACACATGTTGAAGATGACATCTGCTGCCTTACAGAGGGAGTTATTTGTCTCCAGGGCAGGTCTGCGGCCTTCAGCCCCTTGGACATGCTATATGCTAGCAGCGCCACGTTGTTGCTAACTGCGGCTGCCTGAAAGCACATTGATGGGCTCGATTGGAGAGCATGGTCACCGTCTGGTTCGTGTTTCTCCGGAGGGACGGGACGCTGCCCCGACCTGGACAGCTTCGCTCCAAAGCTTCCGCGAGGCTTGGCTCCAGGGGGGTTACCGAGGGATAGCCCCGCTCGGTGAACCCCTCCACTCTGGTGATGGATGCGGACTGGGGACCGACTCCCCCAATCTACCAGGAAAGAACCCGTCTGTGGTCTCGCCCGTAAGACGTCCTGTTGGGAGCACGAGGCCATATGGGTCAAGACGGTGAGCC